CGGACGACAGATTCACGGACATCAAGTTTCATCGTGTGAGCCATGACTAAGAACAACGGCACCGATGACATTATCCCTAAATGGAATGGAGATCTCACCACGGTGGACGATTATGAGAGAGACGTCAAGGCCTACATCCGAGGGACGCGGCGAGATGAGAGATACGTGTGCGGCCCACGTCTATGGAGACGACTAGAAGGCAGAGCCCGACAGGCAGCTAAGGACGTGGACTGGGACCGCATCGAGAAAGATGATGGAGCTGCCGAGCTGCTACGACATGTCCGAGCTAAGCTCGGAGCTCAGCCCATCCAGGATGCAGGCAAGTATCTAGCAAGATGGATCTTCGACTTACGCCGAGATACAGGGGAGCCGATGCCGAGTTATATCAGCAGAGACGACGAGGCCTACCATGACGTTGCGAAAGGGTTCGACACCGAGTATTTCAAGAAGCAGCGTACGGCCCGACTCTCCGAGAGATCAAAGTTGTGGAACACCCTCTACAGTGAGCTGAAGTGGTTTCTTTACAAGATCGAGCATAAGGGCCCAGAAGACGCCGCAGAAGTGGCGAAGGACCTCAACTGGCGGCTCTGGAGTTTTGTCAGCAACGGCCTAAAGGAGATCCCCAAGCATCCAGATTTCGGTACCGACTTCAACCAGGCGATTCCTCTGGACCAACTGCGCGGATGGCTACTGCTGCAGAGATCAAGATTGCCCACAGCCGCGGTGGTTTGCCCAAGACATTCCGTGTTCGTGAAAGAAAACCCACAATTCCAGAGGAGAGCTCCTCGTCCACCCCGCTTCCTCCTCTTCTTACCCGTCAAACAACACACTCAAAACGAGGCTTCCGCCTGAGAGGTCCCAAAAACACACACCCAAAAGGAAGCTCTCGCCTGAGAGGTCACAAAAAAAAACACTCAAAACGAGGCTCCCGCCTGAGAGGTCCTAAAAAAACCCAAAGAAATCCAAGAGCCACCCCTCTCATCCCTGTAACTGTCCCAAACAACCAAAAAAAAACAAAAGTTCCAGAGGAGAGCTCCTCGTCATCTTCCAGAGGGCGGGTAAGAAGAGGAGGAAGCGGGGGCGGGGGAGTTCTCCTCTGAAGCTTTGGGTTTTTTTTTGCATGTTTGTGACAGTTACAGGGATGAGAGGGGTTGCTCTTGGATTTCTTCGGGTTTTTTTGGGACCTCTCAGGCGGGAGCCTTGTTTTGAGTGTTTTTTTTGGGGGGGACCTCTCAGGCGGGAGCATCGTTTTGGGACCTCCCAGGCGGGAGCACCGTCACGTGGGAGGTTCATGCTCTCCTCCTTCCTTTCCCCTTCTCCCTTTCTTTCCTTCCTCCTCCCTCACCCTCCTCCTCCTCACTCTCTCTCTCTCTCATACTCATCTCTCTCTCTTCTCTCTCTCTTTCTCTCTCTCTCTCTCTCTCTCTCTCTCTCTCTCTCTCTCTCTCTCTCTCTCTCTCTCTCTCTCTCTCTCTTCTCATCACTTATTATATATCTCTCTCATTATCTCGTTTCCTCTATCCCTCTCAATGTCGGAAGCGCAATACTTTTTCACTGTTGGAACGCAGTGCTCTGGATCCATCGAAGCGCAATGCTTCGTCCTCGTCGGGAGCGCAATGTTTCCTTCTCGTCGGAAGCGCAATGTTTCCTCCTCGTCGGAAGCGCAATGCTTCCTCCCCGTGGGAAGCGCAATGTTTCCTCCTCGTCGGAGCAACGCCTTGGATCCGTCGAAGCGCAAGGCTTCGTGCTTGTCGGAAGCGCAATGTTTCCTATTCGTCGGAAGCGCAATGTTTCCTGTGTGTCGGAAGCGCAAAGTTTCCTCTCTGTCGGAAGCGCAATGTTTCCTCCTCGTCAGAAGCGCAATGCTTCATGTTTGGTGGAACGCATTGTTCTGGTTTCACCGAAGCGCAATGCTTCGTCCTCGTCGGAAGCGCAATGTTTCCTCGTCGGAAGCGCAACGTTTCCTCCTTTGTCGGAAGCGCAATGTTTCCTCCTCGTCGGAACGCAATGCTCTGGACCCCTCGAAGCGCAAGGCTTCGTGCTTGTCGGAAGCGCAGTGTTTCCTCCCCCTCCCTTCCATTCCCAGGCATGAAGGTCGGTGCGACGCCCGATTCGGTGAGAGACACATAATTAGCGACATGGAAAGGGATGGGAGGGAGGGGTAGGATGTCAGATGTAGCGCGAGCGCACCTAGCTTGTTCTCTCTCTCTCTCTCTCTCTCCTTCTCTCTCTCTCTCTCTCTCTCTCTCTCTCTCTTTTTTCTCTCTCTCTCTCTCTCTCTCTCTTTTTCTCTCTCCCTCTCTTTCTCGCTCGCTCCCTCCCTCCCTCCCTCCCTCCCTCCCTCCCTCCTCCGTCCCTCCCTCCCTCCCTCCCTCCCAGGCGGGAGCACCGTCACGTGGGAGGTTCATGCTCTCCTCCTTCCTTTCCCCTTCTCCCTTTCTTTCCTTCCTCCTCCCTCACCCTCCTCCTCCTCACTCTCTCTCTCTCTCTCTCCCTCTCTCTCCCCCCTCTCTCTCTCATCACTTATTATATATCTCTCTCATTATCTCGTTTCCTCTCTCCCTCTCAATGTCGGAAGCGCAATACTTTTTCACTGTTGGAACGCAGTGCTCCGGATCCATCGAAGCGCAATGCTTCGTCCTCGTCGGGAGCGCAATGTTTCCTTCTCGTCGGAAGCGCAATGTTTCCTCCTCGTCGGAAGCGCAATGCTTCCTCCCCGTGGGAAGCGCAATGTTTCCTCCTCGTCGGAGCAACGCCTTGGATCCGTCGAAGCGCAAGGCTTCGTGCTTGTCGGAAGCGCAATGTTTCCTTTTCGTCGGAAGCGCAATGTTGCCTGTGTGTCGGAAGCGCAAAGTTTCCTCTCTGTCGGAAGCGCAATGTTTCCTCCTCGTCAGAAGCGCAATGCTTCATGTTTGGTGGAACGTATTGTTCTGGTTTCACCGAAGCGCAATGCTTCGTCCTCGTCGGAAGCGCAATGTTTCCTCGTCGGAAGCGCAACGTTTCCTCCTTTGTCGGAAGCGCAATGTTTCCTCCTCGTCGGAACGCAATGCTCTGGACCCCTCGAAGCGCAAGGCTTCGTGCTTGTCGGAAGCGCAATGTTTCCTCCCCCTCCCTTCCATTCCCAGGCATGAAGGTCGGTGCGACGCCCGATTCGGTGAGAGACACATAATTAGCGACATGGAAAGGGATGGGAGGGAGGGGTAGGATGTCAGATGTAGCGCGAGCGCACCTAGCTTGTTCTCTCTCTCTCTCTCTCTCTCTCTCTCTCTCTCTTCTCTCTCTCTCTCTCTCTCTCCCTCTCTCTCTCGCTCCCTCCCCCCCCATCCACCCCCATCCCCCTATATCAGTATATCCCTCTCTCTCTCCCTCTCTCTCTCTCTCTCTCTCTCTTCTCTCTTCTCTTTCTCTCGCAATCTCCCTCCATCATTTGCTCGTCGGCAGCCTGCTCAGCAGTTCCCTCGCCCTGGCCCTCGCCATCAGATAACGCAGTAGTCAGACGCATGCGCGCGCAAACGTGCACGCACAGAGAACTGCAGAAGGAATGCGAGGATGAAATAAGAAGACGAGTAATGATAATGCTGTAACCATGATGATCACGATGAATACGAACAAGGAATGTCTCGGGCAAACCACCGCGGCTGGTCGGAAGATTGTCCCCGACCGAGCGTGCAGCAGTGATCAGCGCAGTTAAAGGGAACTTCGACTACGACAGCATCGGAGAGCAGTTGCGAGTATCTTGGCCCGACGATGAGTTGACGAACCGCGACAAGAAGACAGGCAAGGACAACCATCGTCATCGAGAGCGAGGTCGAATCCACGCCGGCTGGGAGGAGAACAGCGAGGACGACGACGACTATAGCTACTATGACGGAGAGCAGTCGGAGGTCTCCTACGAGGATGGCGACGGCGACGAGGACGAGGGAGATCCCGAGGAGCCGCTCTACAGCGCCCAGGAGATCGAGGACGCCGAGACTGCGTTCGCCGCCCAGCAGCGCAGCTTCGAGGAAGCGAGAGACCTACTTCGACGAGTCAAGACAGCAAGGAAGTTCTACCCCGTGGATGAGAATAAAAAGCGAGAAGGTCGCGGAGGACCCGGCAAGTCCCCGGCAAGGTCCCGGCAAGGTCGGGTCAGAGATGCCGGAGTTCTGTTTCGGAGTCCAAGAGGGCTCCAGATCGGTCCAAGAGGGCCCCGAGAAGCTTTCTAGACGGTCCAAGAGAGTCCCGAGACGGCCAAAGATCGCCCGAAGACGCCCCAGATGGCCCCAAGACAGCCCAAGAGGCCTCCAAGACGCTCCAAGGGCCTTCCAAGAGGCCTCCGAAGAGGGCCCCAAGTTGCCAAAATCGTTGATTTTCATTGGTTTTTTCTATGTTTTTTTGCGTTCTGGCCTTTTCGCTTCCGGACGCTCCAAGAGGGCCCAAGAGGCCTTCAAGACTGCTCCAAGACGGCCCACGAGGCTCCCAAGACGGCCCCGGAGCGGCCCAAGAGCGCCCCCCAGACGGCCCAAGTGCTGCCCAAGGCGGACCAAGAGGCCCCAAGACGGGCCCAAGAGGGGCTCAAGAAGGGAACCGAGAACTGAAAAATCGAGCCCTCCGCCCCAGAAGGCGCCCAGGACCCCGAAAGAGGCCCCAAGAGACTCTCCAAGACACCCCCAAGACGCCCCAATAAGCTCCCGTGAGGCCCCAAGAGGACCAACAACGTCAGGCCCCAGGCCCCAAGAGGACCAACAAATACCGCCAAGAGCCCGCCGAAAGCCCCCCAAGAGACCGTCACGAGAGCTCAGGAGGCCCCCTGGAGGCCTCCCGAGTTCTCCAAGAGGCCTAAAAAGAGGCGCCAAGAGGCCCCAAACGGCCCCACCGAGGCTCCAAGAGGCCACGAACGCGCAAGCAAACGCCTGCGATGGCACAATACGGGCCGGCGGAATGAGCGAAGCGATTAAATAAGAAGCGAGAAGGTCGCGGAGGACAGCGCAAGTTTCAAGGGCCCCGGGCTGGATCCCGAGGCTCTGGATCGTCGAGCAAGGGACGAGGCTGAGGGAGCGGACAGCGACGTGACGGACCTCCTCGACGAGATGGAGATCGCTCCCAAGGTCGGCTGCCCCGAAAGGGGCCATGTCTGAAGTGCGGAGGCAATCACGAGACGAAGGATCATCGAGATCGTGCTTCATCGGCTGGCAGCAAAGGAGATCGTGAACGCCCAAAGCGAGGTTTTGGAGCTTTCGTATTCTTCGGCGCCGAGCAGGATGCCGAGATGGAGGCCAACCTCATTACGAACGAGACGACCCGCATCGAGCTGGAGACGGCGATGCTTCCCAAGCTGGTGATCAAGAACAAGCCGAAGCGGGAGAAGAGGCAGCTCGACAAGACCCAGTATCTTCAGGTGGAGAAGTCCATCGAGATGCGAGAGCGAGTTCAGCACGTCAAGCTGCCGAGCTGGCCTACACTGGAGAAGCTCGACGACTGGATCCTCATGAGTGTGAAGCAGAGCTCCTCCAAGGGTTTCGGAATCCTGGATATCGGCGCAACCTCCAGCATCATGGGCATCGAGGCCGCCGAGAACCTACGCGACATCATTTACGAGCAGACGGGCCAGAACATCAAGATGGATGTTAGCCAGAAGAGTACGTTTATATTTGGCGACGGCAACTCCAAGACCTGCACCGGCAAGGCTACCTTTCCTCTCAAGATTGCTGGTGTGGACGGCGAGCTCGAGATTAACATCCTCGACGCAGATGCCCCACTCTTGATCGGAGTGGATGTTCTGAGCCGCCTGGGAGCTGTGATCGACTGCGAGCGATCTGTTTACTTCAAGAAGCTCGGACGTCGAGCTGAGCTGCTCGTCCTTCCGAGCGGCCACCTTGCACTGCCACTGGTTCAGCAAGCCGATTTTGGCTTCGTGGCATCCCTCGAGTAGGGGTCCACGCCCTCGACACCCGAGACTGCTACGGTGCCGGAGGGAAAACATGAAAATGAGCAGCCGATCGGAAGCAAGATTGACGAACCACCTGCATCTGTGCCCCATAAGGTCCCCGACGAGGCCCCAGATCATGGAGCCCTGAAGGCCTCGAGCACCTCATCAGCACTTACGAGCACGGGGACATCATTATTACCTACGCCTACGGGGACACCATCATCCTTTACGCTTACAGGGATATCATCATTACCTACGCCTCCAGGGACATCATCAATAAAAACGTCTGGGACATCATCTGTATCAGCCCCTACGGCCTCAGCTATGACATCATCAGGGTCACCCTCAGAGGCTTTCCCAAAGATCCCCGAGTTCCCAGCGCTCCAAACGGAAACGCCACCGTTCTCCAGAGCCATTTGGGCTGCGAACGATCCGAGCTTAGAGCTCCGATTTCGGCAACCAGATTGCCTTCCATATTCGCATGAGCCTCAACCGCGAGACGAAATGCCGCAAAGCAGAGAGCCAGCAAGTGAAGCTGGAGAACGAGGAGATGGACGGCCCCTGGGAGCAGGTGGACGTTCGAGTGCCTCTGGAGGACTCGGGAGCATCGGCGACGTGCCGCTCACCGACGTCGACGAGGTCTACGCTACAACGGACGACTGATCGCTCACCAGGACACGAAGGGCAACATCTTCTACACGGTCGAGGGCTCGGAGCTGGACCACAGCAAGAAGCGGACGACGGACATCTTCCTACTGGAGCACCTGCCGAATTGGGAGATGTGGTCCAGCAAGCTCCTCCGGCAGTGGACTCAGTGTCGCCGCTGGGGGCGGGTCATCCAGAAGGTCTTTCTCAAGACGATCGACCACGTGAACTGGAAGCTGGACAGTCTCGGCCTACCTGTACAGCTGCTACCAGAGAAGTACCCGACCTGGCCGACGGACCTCGAGCACCGTGCGAAGATCGAGCAGTGTCCGCCGAGCACGAAGGCGAAGCAACGCCCCCAGAAGTCGACAGCCGCGGCCGCGCGCGAGCAGAATCAAGAGCTGCGGGCCACCATCGAGACCGCAAAGTCCGATTTCTTGACCAAGTTTGCGGAGGTGAGTGCGTTTGCAGCGCTGAGCTCAGAGCAGATTCACGAGCAACTCAGCATGGTCACGCTGGGCAACCACCTCAGGCCCCTGTGCAAGATGTGGGGGTTGACCCAGTCGGGCAAGAAGGAGGAGGTGGTCGACAAGATCATAGCGTACATCATCGAGCAGCGCGGCTCGGCGGCAGCGACGATCAAGATCAAGGTGGAGACCGAGACGAAGAAGACGGAGAAGGCGCCTATGACCGTGGGCCCGGCGATTCCAGCTCACTACACGCAGATGTGCCAGCACCCGGACTGCAAGCTATGCCGAGGTATCGCGAAGAACGAGCCGATCGTGAAGGTAAAGCCCTACGGGTGGTGCCACCAGGCATGCGCTGCCAGGACGAGGGCCTGAGTGAGGTTCAGGCCGAGAGGTCGCGTTGGCACAGTGACGAGAGCCGGCCGCTGAAAGGTCATCAGCGTCAGGCGATCCGTGCAGCGACTCACATGACGAGATCAGCCATCTTCGGAGCTATGTGCGCCCTCGCGACCTTCGGCCGCCTGACGATGGTTGAAGCGCGCACCCACGAGGACTCGAACCTCGGTAAGGTGTGCGACGAGAAGGGCTACCACTACGAGCGTCTCGGTCTGTTCAACGAGAACGACCTCAGCAAGCCGCAGGGTTACCACAAGGCGAAGTTCTTGCTGGACGAGAAGCGCCTGGAGCTCTTCGTCAGCACTCCACCCTGCGGGCCCTGGTCGATAATTCAGAACGTCAACCAGCGCGACGACAGGCAGAGGGAGAACCTTCGCAGGAAGCGCCTCAAGAGCCAGCGGATCTTCGAGAACAACAAGAGGCTCATAGACCACCAGGTGATCAACCTGAACGGCTCTGCCCTCGCCGAGCAGCCACACAACAGTCGGTCGTGGCAAAAGACCTGCTGGAAGGACCTCCACAAGATACTCCCCTACGAGGTGATCGTGGACGGCTGCGCCTGCAGACTGAGAGCTCCCGACAGAGGCGAGCTCATGAAGAAGCGCTGGAAGTTTCTTACGAACGACAAGAGGATCTGGGTGGCCCTACAGCCGCTACAATGCCGTGGAGGACACTACCACGAGGAGATTGAGAGCAGCTTGAGGACTAAGGCTTTGGGCTACAACCCCAAGATGCTGTGCCGCCGAATCCTCCGGGCTCTGACTAAGAGCCAGAACCAGAACTACTTCGAGGACGAGGTTGTGAAGTGCCTCTGCATGGCAGCTACCCAGCAGCCGCCGACGGAGCCTACGCTTGTTGAGGACGAGCCGTCGATTCCACCTCAAGACGGCAAGGAGACTCACGACCTCACCAAAGGGACGATCAAGAAGATCGAGAGCTACACCAGGTTGGTGCACACCAACCTTGGACATCTACCCCGAGCTCATCTACTACGATACCTTCGCGACCGTGGTGCTCGCCCAGAGGTACTACGACTGGCCAGGACATTCAAGTGCGACATCTGCGACGCGCACCGACCACCGACGAAGCGGCCACCAGCCTCATCAGCAGAGCAGCCACAGAACGGTCACGAGGTTCTCTTCGACGCCTTCTCATGGATCCGTCGCAGCAAGAAGACGAACGTGATGGCCCTGGCGATCCTCGACGCCGGCTCAGACACCCTCTACGTGCGACTGATCGACGAGAAGGAGATTCCGGGTACGACTCGACAAGTTCGTGCCAGCGACCTTCGACATATTTTTGCGACAAAGTGGTTTCCCTGGATGGGACGTCCGAAGGTCATGCGCTACGATCCCGCTGGCAGCGCCATCTCCAACGAGTTCCGCGAGTGGATCGAGAGCCAGGGAGTATACTGTCTTCCATGCGCGGCCGACGCCCACTGGCAGATCGGCAAGATTGAGCGCGCGATCGAAGCTTTCAAGGAGGCCCTCGACGCTTTCGACGAGATGGTCTCAGCTGAAGTGCCTACCAGCGAGATGATTGGACTCCAGACAGCTGCCAGGAACGACCTGATCAGGATTGACGGATTCAGCCCACTGCAGCGCTATGCCGGACGGACCCCGACGGGGACCACGGTTAACTTGTCCGACGAGCCGAATAACCTGCCCCTCATCAGCGCCGAGCTGCAGGACGGCACCTTCAGCAGGGACACCCAAGTTCGACGCATGGCGCGGCTGGCTCACATCCAGACCGAGAACTCCGACCGAGTCAAACGGGCAGAGGCCGCGCGCTTCAGGTCCTTCAAAAGGTACGAGACGGGCGGCCTGGTCTTCGTCTACAGGAGGCTCCCACCAGGAGCCTGGATCAAGAAGGGCCAACCTCGCTCCATGCCTGGGCGAGGCCGCTGGTACGGACCTGGACGAGTACTTTGCCACGAGCCATCGAGCTCAGGACATCGACCTGGTCTACCTGGAACAGTGGTCAACATCACACTGGCTGGACGCCTCTATCGAGTTGCCCCAGAACAGCTTCGACCTGCTACGCCCTCCGAAGAGGCGATGGACTCTCTACGCTCGCGTCGCGAGCAGCCGGGGACATGGACCTTCGGCGACGTCCAGAAGCTGCTCGACCAGAACGAGGTGATCGACCTTTCGAATGAGTCCCCGCCTACTGGCGAGGACCTGGCCGCTGACGACGGCGAATCTGTCAGCGCTCGCACCTTCGAGGGCAACGCGAGCGGACCCTGGGCCATTCCTGAAGACGAGGAGCTACCCGTGCCACGAGGAGATCCTCGGAGTTTGGGCCCAGGAGGAGGAGGCGGCGGAGGTGGTGGAGCCATCGAGGCACCCCCAGGACTGGAAGAGCGACCTCTTCCTGGACCGCGACCTCCAAGGCGACTTCGGAAGAAGGGCAATCCCTGGGCCGAGGCGGCCGAGGTCCAAGACCCTCTCATACAGCCAGCACAGCCAGAAGCACCACCAGGCATTCCACAAGAGGAAGGCCACGAAGCTGGACACCAAGAAGAAGCTGAGTTACCTGCAGAAGAGGAGATCGTCATGGAGACCCCTCCCAGCGACGATCAAGCAGAGCGCACGTCTCAGCAGCCCATTGCGGTGGACACGGACGATGACCTCGACGAGACTACGGCGCCCGACGTGAACGACAAGCGCCGACTGCGGTCGCCTGGCTCAACCGAGCCACCTGCCAAGAAGCAGCGGATCAACGTCGCGACCCAGGAGGCCTTCTCCTCCTACCTGCAGGAGGGCAACTCCTGCGGGGACTACGCCTACAGCGTCCAGCAGTACGACGTGACGAAGGAGGACGATGAGCTCATCGTGCTGGACATCCCCGTCAGCAACGAGCACGCGATCATGGCCTACATGGACGATCCCAGCAATTTCGTGGCATCACAGGCCCGGAAGGGCCGAGTGGAGGTTTCCTTCAAGAAGGCGACGCCTGAGGAAAAGAAGCTGCTACTAGAGGCCCAGCAGAAGGAGTGCACCTCCGTCCTCAGCACGAAGGCTGTCAGGATCCTCAGCCGCAAGGGGATCGACCCGGCGCGCCTGCTGCGCTGCCGTTTCGTGCTGACCTGGAAGAAGGACGAGCAGGTCAACGTGCTCCGAGGCAAGGCCAGATTGGTCGTGCTTGGCTTCAGCGACCCCGATCTACTACACCTACGGACAGAGTCACCAGTTGCCTCAAGACGTGCACGACAACTTCTACTGGCCATGGCAGCAAGACACAAGTGGAAGCTGGAGAAGGCAGACGCAGTGACAGCCTTCCTCCAGGGCGAGACTGACGAGAAGAAGAGGAAGATCTACGCCGACCCGCCGAAAGATGTTCGTCAGGCATTCGGCATGAAAGATGACGATGTACTACAGTTCCTCAAGCCTATGTATGGGTTTGTACATGCTCCTCGCAAGTGGTGGCTCCATTTCAAGGACACGCTCAGGACGCTGAAGCTGAAGATCGTGCAGTGCGAGCCTTGCGTCTGGGTCATCCGAGACGGCAACACGATGGTTGGCATGGTCATCCTACACGTCGACGATATGATGATTGCCGGCGATCACAACAACTCGGCCTTTCTCAAGAAGCGTCAGGAGATTCAACAAGCTTTCGAATGGACACCCTGGGAGCGCCGAGCGTTCGTGCAGTGCGGCATCAGCATTCGACAGAACGAGGATTACACCTGCAGCCTCGCACAGGACAGCTACAGCCTGAACGTGGAGCCCATCAAGATACGACGTGGGAGGAAACCCACAGAAGGAGTTTGAGACAAGGAGAGATCAGACCTACGAGGCCGACTTGGTACAGTCGGATGGCGAGCTCAGCAGTCGGCCCCGTGGCTCAGCGCAGAAGTCTCTCTACTTCAAGCGGAGATACCTACGGCCACGGTCTCAACCATCCAGAAGATCAACAAGCTTATCCGCACCATGAATGACACCGCCGACGTGGTAATGCTCATCCCGGCCATTGAGCAGATTGCCGTGGTTGGCTGGGGAGATGCAGCATGGGCCGCCCACATCACCGGCGAGTCCCAAGGCGGAGAAATCGTTGTGCTGGCCCCCCTGTCCTTCCTGAGTGGCTCGACAGAGACGGTTGCGCCTATCTCTTGGAGATCATGCAAGTTACCCAGAGTGGCCAGAAGCAGCACGAGTGCGGAGGTCCAGATGATGACTGAGACCCTGGACGAGATCAGTTACGTGCGACTATTCATCTACGAGCTGGAGTGCGGTCAAGTGGACTACACCAACAAGCAGCACGTGAACGACGCCATCTCATCCTGCCCTGGCGTACTTGTCACAGACGGTAAGTCGGGCTACGACGCGATCGAGAAGAGTGAGTCAGCTGGTCTCGGACTACGTGACAAGCGGACGAGCATCGAGTGCCTAGGCATTCGACAGCAGAAGGAGCAGACGGCCCTCCAGATACGCTGGGTACACAGCGACGCCATGTTAGCCGACGGATTGACCAAGGATCGTGCCGCCAAGGTCTTGCTGGAGTTCTTCAGATCAGGACAACGCTGGAGACTCGTGGACGACCCACTTCACCGTAGTGCCCGGAAGCGCAAGACCGAGCAAGCTCGACCATGGCAAGCTCGACCATGGCAAGCCGATCTCGGACGATGACGAGGATGCCATGCTGGAGGCCCTAATCTACTACGCCCGCGACAACCCCGACGAGCAGGAGAGCCCTGCTGGAGATGCAGCCCTGTGGGGCATGATGAAGCCGCTCACGCGCTCTGTGCTTTCTGTGAATTCAATTGCCAGAGGCAGGTCTCGATGCCGTAACATCGATCTTTAGCTTTTGGGCATGCAGTTCAGAGCCCAGAGCCTGCCTCTTCAGAGCCTACTTACGACAGATGGCCCCTAGAGGCCGAGCGTGATATATATATATATATATATATATGTTTCAGGCTCCAAAGGAGCCTCGTGTATGTTAGCCAAGCGTTTCCCGGCGAATCGGGCCTCCCAAGACTCCAGGTTTCAGCAAGCCTTGCTCAGTAGGCCCTCCGTTTCCCTAGCAACAAGTTGCAACATCTATCATAAACAGAACAGGTTCAACCGAAACCGTTCTGGCTCAAGACCTTGCAGCGTCTCAGCGACGCTGGATTTCTGGTGTGCGTCCAAGAGACGCAGAGCAGCGAACTGCCCGCAAACAATCAGATCCTGTTCCCCACCATAGTGTGATCAGCATCGCACCGCCACTGCCCCATCTTATACGACCAGTTTTGAGACGAGCCCAACACTTCCTATATTGATATCAACACGTTGTCAGAGAAGAGAAGAGAGTAGCATCTATGCAGAATTACTATCAGGGCAGTGGTCAGAAGCGGGACCATTGCAAAGATGGCCCCAAGAGGCCCCCAAGAGGCCCCCAGGAGGCCCCCAACAGGATCCCAAGCGGGCCCAAGAGGCCCCCCCGAGGCACCCAAGACGCCGAAGAGCCCCCCACGACCGCCAAGAGACCCTCAAGACGTCCCAAGACGCTCAAGAGATACCCCAAGAGGCTCCGAGAAGCATCCAAGAGACCTCTGGCCCTTTTGCTTGCTCTACTCCTCCTCCTCCTCCTCCTCCTTCCTCCTCCTATCCCTTCTCATCCTCCTCCTCCCCCTCCGCCTCCTCCTCATCCTCGTCCTATTCATTATCCTTCTCCCTACTCCCTCATCCATCCATCATTTTTTTCCTTCGCCCCCTCTCTCCTTCACACGGTTCGGCCGTCCCCCTCTTTGCTCCCGCACTTCCCTGATCACCTCTCAACTCGCCTGGACATCGTTTCTGGATGGGCTGGTGGGGATACTTTTTGGTCTGCGGGCTCGCGAAGCAGGTCGAAAGCCGTCCGAACACCAGTCACTGGTGGGGATACCTTTTCGGTCGCGGCCGCAAGCGAAGAGGCAGGCGGCGGGCTGGGTGTCCGGGCCAGCGGGCAAGCCTAATTAGCTACAAGAGGCGCACTAGCCGGCCGGCCCACTCACAAAGCAGCCGAAAGGCTGTGGGGGAGCTGACGGCGGGGGGCATCCTGGGAAGCTCGGGCACATGCAGTGGACAAAATGTCGAGGAATTCGATGCCTGCCGTGAGGCACGACCCACTCAGTGACAAGACGTGTACCTGAGCAACCAAGTCCGTCATTCTGAATGGGGGCAGGCGCGAGGCCCTAGGAGCGAATCGCCAGTGGGGCGCCAGGTTCCAACCGTCCCAACGTCGTGTGCTAGCCAGGGGGGCTGACCTGTCGCGGAAAGTGGTGCGACGCAACCTGCCAGAAGCAGGTAGATGAGCCTGGGGTGCTGCAGCTGCTGCGAAGGGCTGAACCACTCCGTGGCGATCTCAACACCCGCCAGTCCACCAGGCAGTGCATGGGGGAGGCCGGACGACTGCGAGCCGAGCCCGTGCGCAGCGGCACGGCGCCGGGCCCAGGGTGAAAGGCGAAGGCCAGGCAGGCGTGGTGAGCATCGCCAGCGAGGCGAAGCGTCTAGAAATAAGGCTCCTCCTTGCCCTGTGGCCAAACGTCGAGCTCGGGATGGCGGCAGGGAACGAGGAAGAAGACGAGGAGAAGGGGATCCAGAATCGAGGCAGAGACTGGTGTGTTGGAACCTTCTTGGCCCTCCTGAAGCGCACTCGTGACCACGACTGGATCCACCTCGAAATCGCAGCCACGGCATACCCCAGGAGAGGTCTGGGGATCAACAATGCCACGGCGGGAGAACCTGCCAGGGTGGTCGGTCGGGGCCACGGCGATTCTCAGGCCGCTGAGCTGGAGAGGGCGGCACAGAAGTTCGGCCACAACCGACTGCTGCATCTTCCCATCCTGAGGGGAGACCTGCACGGCGCTCGGGGGCGCGCAAACATGGATTAGCGATCCAAGGATTTGGCGCGCAGTCGCCAAATCCATGGATCGGGGGAGGTGCCCTGCCCAAAATGCGGCCGGTGCCGCCTCGATTGGCGGCGGGAATCCGCGATTTCCCATGGAAACGGAGCCCGTCGCTAATCCACGCCCCCTTGATCCATGTTTGCGATCGCGTGATTCTAGACGTGCCCCCAGTCCAACGTCGATCTAAGCCTCGGGTTCCCCCCTACCCCCCCACATGGCCTTCCCCGCCACGGCGAGCCGCACTCCTGCCAGAAGGACCATGGGCCCCTGAACAATCTCTTGGAGAGAGTCCCAGGGGCCGGTGGACAGAGGCCTCCTGGATGGTGTCCGAGCAGATGGGGTCGGAGGATCGCGCCGGGGACGTCGGTGATACATCGGCGCCGTCGGCGTGGAGAGAATCGGGCTCCACGTCGAGCCGCATCGCCGATGCATCGGCGACGCGGCGCGATCCCACGGCCCCATCCACTCGGACCCTGCCTGGGAGGCCTGCAGGAGCGGAGGGCCCACGGAGGCCAGGAGCCAGCGAAGAGCAGCGGGGCCCCGGGGCGCCCGCGGGGGGCCCGTCCGCCTCTGTGGCGGAGGAGGGCGACGCCGAGGCGCCCGGGCGCCAGCAGCGGGGGAGGGGACGGCAGGCCTGCCATGGCATCCATGCCGCCGATGGCGGCACCGGCCAGGATGTCGCCACCGCCCATGGGGCCCATGATCTCGGGGAAGGG